TGATTCATAAGGCAAATTATATACAATCGTTGCTGATTATGTACCGTGCATTAAACATATCTGAAGTGATTTTTAGTGAATACAGTACTCAAAATATTTATGATGCATAATTAATTATATAAAATATTAACACGCAAGTTATCATTTTAAAATTAAACTTATTTAATAGTTCTTGCCGTGAGTTATAAACTTGCTAATCGTAAAACTGTTTCCATTATCGTTTGCGTTTTCTTGCTTCAAAAGGCAAATTATATACAATCGTTGCTGATTATGTACCGTGCATTAAACCAATCTGAAGTGATTTTCAGTGAATACAGTACTCAAAATATTTATGGTGCATAATTAATTATATAAAATATTAACACGCAAGTTATCATTTAAAAATTAAACTTATTTAATAGTTCTTGCCGTGAGTTATAAACTTGCTAACCGTAAAACTTTTTCCATTATCGTTTGCATTCTCTTGTTTCCTAAGGCAGATTATATACAATCGTTGATGATTATGTACCGTGCATTAAAATAATTTCAAATGATTTTTAGTGAATGCAGTACTCAAAATATTTATGATAAACAATTAATTATATACTGAAAAATTAACGCTCAAGTTATCATTTTAAAATTATATTTATTTCATTTTGTATTTCNAAGTTTTTCCATTTTCGTTTGCGTTTTCTTGCTTCATAAGGCAAATTATATACAATCGGTGGTGATTAAGTCATGAGCATTGGAACAATCTGAAATTTTTTTTGGTAAATACGGTACTCAAAACATAATTAGTTATATATTGAAATATTGACACATACGTTATCATTTTGAAATTATACTTATTTTATGATTCTTGCCGTGAGTTACAAACTTGCTAATCGTATAATTGTTTCCATTATCGTTTGCATTTTCTTGTTTCCTAAGGCAGATTATATACAATTGTTGATGATTATGTACCGTGCATTAAAAGAATTTCAAATGATTTTTAGTGAATGCAGTACTCAAAATATTTATGATAAACAATTAATTATATACTGAAAAATTAACGCTCAAGTTATCATTTTAAAATTATATTTATTTCATTTTGTATTTCTTGCCATGAGTTATAAAGTTGCTAATTGTATAATTGTTTCCATTATTGTTTGTATTTTCCAGTTTCATAAGGCAAATTATATACAATCGTTGGTGATTATGTCGCTTTCATTGAAACGAATCTTAAATCATTTTTAATTGATGTAGTTCCCAAAGTATATGTGGTGCTTAATTAATTATATATTGAAATATTTACCACGCGCGAATGTCATTATTTAAAAAATATATTTAGTTTGTTTTATATTTCTTGCTATGAATTACAAAGTTACTAATAGTAGATTTGTATCCATTATCGTTTGCATTTTATTGTTTCATCAGGGAAATTGTTGTCGTTGGTGATAATAATGCTCATAAAAGCACATTCTAAATCCTTTATAGCCAATACATGGTCTCAAAATATTTATGTTGTATTATTAATTATGTACTGAAATATTAAACACAATACAGTACTTAATATATAATGATACGTTTTCAATTATTTATTGAACTACTTAGTGCGCAAGTCATCAGGTTAAAATTAAATTTGTTTCATTTTATTTTTCCTGCTATTCGCAAAGACATGAAAAGTAGAACTGTTTTCATAATTGTTGGCATATTTTGTTTCATGAGGTATATTCTACGGAAGGTAATTAATAATTCGTGTATATTAAAATAATATAAAATTATTTATAACCAATACAGAACTCAAAACATTTATGATGCATTGTTAATATTTTAGGAATAAAAATTAATATAAAATATTTAACAAAGAAGTAATTTCAGAATTATATTCATTTTATATCACATTCCATGAATGAAAAAGTCACAATAACTCAGAAAGTAAAAATTTTGTTTGTCTAAGAACATAAATATTTTTATATAGATCATTCAATATTATCGAAAAAAATGTTGGCAACGTATGAAAAAATATTAACACTTCCGCAAACGCTAAAAAAAACATGTCTTTATATCTGCATTATTTTCAAAAAAGTACGAAAGGTTTTAGACAAATTTGAAATGGTATTTCAGAAAAGAAAAAAAAAAGAGTTGAAGAACTTTTTCTTATGGATGACTTTTTAGTATTAATATGTTATTCATATACTTAAAGATTTTATTCACCATTTATTCTCCATTTTCTCCTTATTTATTCCAATCTGCATTAAAAAAAACTTGGAATTAAATAAGGGTTTTAATAATTAATAAATTAATTGTTATGAATATTTTTCTCTGATTTTTCCCATTAGTCACATAAGAAAATGTTCTAATTTGTACATAAATACGTTTTAAGCAGTGATCATTTTAATCACAGAGTGATTTTTTTAAATGATAAAAATTTCTAAATGTACTTAAAAAATTGCTGTTTTTTAACTTTCTAAGTTTTTAAAATTTAAAAAGAAAAATGCTATATAATAAGAATTTTTGAGCTTTCAATTAGATTTCAAATGGAGTTGAGTGCTAAATAGCCAAAATACTTTTCTTGAAAAAAATTGCTCTCTGGGTACTACGAAGCTCTTAAAGAACTTTAACACCATTTTTAGGGAATACACTAATAGAAATATTTGCAATACTTTAATAATTATATAGGGAAATATATAAATATGTAAGTTATCATTTCTATCATATACATGGATGATGAAGTCACAGCAATTTAAATTGATTTTTGCTCTCTGTCTATCGTATAGCGAATGAAATAATAGCACTGTAAAAATCCGCCTAATTATTAAAAAAAATTATTTTTAAGAATTGTCATTAAATAGTTATTATTTTTTACTTTGTATACCAAAGTTTGAACTTACATGTACATAAATAACTATCTGAACAAATAATATCTACGCAATAATCATTTAGTAGTGCATTGAAATTAAAAGCAAAGTTTTGATCAGAAACTTTTTGTAGATCGAAAAACATATTTTGGAAATCTTTATCTTTAAAACAATCAAAAAGTTTCGCTTCATAGTTGTTTTTAAATAATTCTTCCTTGCATAAATTTTATTAAGTGAGTTGCATTCAGCAAAAATATTATGCACATAACATTCAGAAAAAGGAAATTTAAGATAAAAATATACTTTCCTACGATTATGCATACTACTTTAAAGACTTTAAAATATAGAAATGCTTTAAAATAAACAAAAGTAATTATGCATTAAAATGTGTAAATTTAGTTCATTAAAATTAATAAGCGTTATACTTTTATTTTTCGTATAAAAAATACAAAAATGTAAAAAATTCTCAAATTAAGCTGTTTACATTAATGCAAGTACTTTTCTATTCGTTTGTGGTATCAAGCATCAAAATAATGTGTATAAAAAATAATGTTCAGTAATTGCTATTATATTCAATTTGTAATCTGTATACATTTTTAAAAGAATAGATATTATTTCGAATTCAAAGTGTACTTGAAACTGAAATAATTTATATCATCAGTTTTATTATTTATTTAGGAAATTTGTAATATAAGCTATCAATTAATTTCTGAGCAGTGCGAGACTATAAAATGGTAAAAGCTTAAATAAGAAGCACTTAACCTTTAAGGGCAATTCAGAAACTTAAAATGGCTGAGCATTTTATTGCACTCGTTTATCTTAGAGTTAATAAGTTTTTAAATATATTTATCTTTATGCTGATGTTTGTCTTTAAGCAGGCCTATTTAGTCGAAAAATAACATTAATGAAGCAAAATTTATTTATTTAAAGTTAATAATGTAAAATTGTTTCCGAAGATCTTTTTAGTTAACGATTCACTCTGCGCTTCCTGATTTTTATAAAATTTTACATTTGGAGATAATTGTTTTTCGTAAAATATTTTCTCTGCCGTATGTTTTTGTTTGCAAAAGGGAAGAATAAATAGTTCAATAGAAACAACAATTTATTTATTTCAGCGACTTATTTTAAAATGCCTTTACAAATCCAAATTCACATTATAATTAAGAATTATATCTGTGAATAATTAATATTTCTCAATAATTTATTATGATTTGACTTAAAGGGTTAATTTTTGCAAATCAAAATTAGAAATAAGTTTAAGTTCGAAAACTTCATTTAATTTACAATTATTGATTAACTGTTTTAAATCTATTATAAATTGGTTAACAGATTTAAGATTTAATCAAGTATATGTCTCAAATGTCAATCACCCTATATAGCTTCAAACGAAACATACAGGAGGTATTCATAATGGAAAGCTTTCACTCTGATTGAATTATTAATATTTTATAGATGTCCTCAAAACCCCTAACAACAGCAGAAGATTAAAATTTGCAAAAAATATAGCCACAGTGTTAGCAAAAAAATTTATTGAGAACTACTCACCTTTGGTCGAAAATAAGTCCAGAAGATAAACCTTCTTTGCGGTAAATATTTGTATATGCGTTCATTTTAACGTTATTAAATTTAAATAAAAAAAATAGTAACACAATCACATTAAAAGATACATCATTTTTATCATATTCAACAGTAATGGAATTATCTATCAATACTTTATACTTTAATAGAGAAAATAGAACTCCAAAAGAAGGATTAAAATTAAAAGCAAATTTATTTTACTGTCTAAGAGGAAAAGTGCTTCCATATATTAACCTTCTGTTTACATATGGTACAACATGTGGACCGCATGTGATGGTGCAACATGGAACACCATAAGCAAAGGGTCAATTGGAACTACCTTTTATCTTTATTTGAAATGTATAAGGCGTTTTGATTGTTCTAATTCCTTTCTTGCTCATATTGAGTTATGGGGATGATACGTCATTCTTTGACAATTTTTTTCTCGTCTAAATAATTTTCAAGTTTGAACTGGTATCAATCATGTTACTTTACTTTATCAATCTTGAAAGCTTCTAAAAATATCAATTTAACATATTTTTGCATACATCATTGCATACTATTTAAGAAAAATTTAAGAATTAATTACTTCTTATATTGATGATGGTTCTTTTGTATTTACAGTCCATATGCATTGTGAAGCCACGTCTATGACTGCCATTGTAAAAGTAATAACTCCTTTTCGAGGTAGACTGTATGCATTGGGTCACCCATATGAATGCTATGCCGTGTCAGTGAGATCAAATGGGGAAGTGGCGTTGACTATGCCACTTCATGGAAGGACTTGTGGCACAAAAAATCTGGTAAGTTTTATTCTTTCTTTATTTTCTTTTAATTGAAAAAATGCTAAATAGGAATATATAATTTTATTGGATATGTTTTTAACACATTTATACATTGATTGAACTTAAGATGTGAAGTAATTAATTACAGATGTACAGTAGTTAATTACAAAAGGTTTGAACAACTTAGAATTAGAAGCATACTACTAACAAATTAGGCTCACTTAAGATGTGAAGTAGTTAATTACGGATGTATTGAAAGGCTTGAACAACTTAGAATTAGAAGCAAACTTCTAACAATTTAAGCTGACTTAAGATGTGAAGTAGTTAATTACAGATGTATTAAAAGTTTTGAACAACTTATAATTAGAAGCATACAACTATCAATTTAGGCTCACTTGAGATGTGAAGTAGTTAATTATGGATGCATAAAAGTTTTGAACAACTTAATTAGAAGCATACTACTAACAATTTAGGCTCCCTTAAGATGTGATGTAGTTAATTATGGATGTATTAAAAGGTTTGAACAACTTATAATTAGAAGCATAATAGTAACAATTTAGGTTCCCTTAAGATGTGAAGTAGTTAATTACTGATGTATGAAAAGGTTTGAACAACTTAGAATTAGAAGCATACTATACAATTTAGGCTCACGGGATGCATTAATTTTTTTTTGTTATAAAAATCTCAAAATAACATCACAGAATGGATTAAACCAACATAATACCCATACAAATATATTGCGATTTTCATCTTGGAAACTATTTTAAATTCTATTGTTTTAAACTCTTATGTAATGTTCTTAAAACATGAACTTTAGAAATTACTTATAATTTTAATTTGTTCTATTGCAATAAAATTTAGTAAAGATAAGGACTTCTGAACAAAATTTATGCAACGTCATTAATAACCTGTTTTTAAAAATACCACTTTAATGAAATACTTATTTAAATTGATTTTTTAATGTAGCTTAAAAATTAAATATTTTTTTTTAATCTTCTGGTGCTGAAAGTTAAATGTGTTTTTATGGAAAAAAATACACGAAACATATTCATCCGTTTCTTTTTAAGGTTTACATTTTTTATAACAATTACCTCTTTCTTCACTGCTTTGAGAATGCATACAAAAAAGCGTTTATTAGCTTTTTTAAAGGAAGAAAAGTTTTTATGTTAAATTTTTTGAGATAAAAATAACTTAAGTTAATGAGTAAAAAATTGAATATATTTTAAGATATTTCTAATTAAAAGAGGAATGCTTCAATTAAATTAAAACTTGCTTTAGGACTGTATTGGTTTTAATTTATTTTTAATAAGTGTTTTTATGTTGTTTTTTTTTATCTAAAGTGAGGAAAAAAACTTTGAAGTAGCACCTTTTAAGGTGGGATTTGATTAGTGTTTGAGTTATTGTTTTATTTCTACTGTAATTATAAAACAAAATGTTCCCAAAGCAACTAAAGGTTAGACAAATCAATTAAATTGTTTTTTAAATCGGTGGTTTTCTGCTTAGGAATTGCTGCGTTCTACAAAAGAAACCAATCATTAACAGTGTTTTTAGATGTTTTTGCACTAAAGGAAATATAACTGCCACAATTTAAGTGTTTTACAGTTGTCATAAAGCTATAATTTTAAAATGTATGCACCATCTTGCCAGATTTATTTAGGCTATCGAACGGGCCAATAACTTATATATTTTAAAAACTATTAAATTTTGAGAAGTTATTAATTTTTTTTAGATTTTCGTCAAGATTTTTCCATCTTAATGAAAATTATTGAGAATATCAAAAGCAACAACAATACTGCTAAGCACTGACATGATTCCTAAATTTTATTGTACAATGTAAGCTAAAATTTTGGTATGAGTGAAGGAAATTTTTTTCCATTATCATAGTGCATGTAAAATTTTAATGTTTTGCAATTGCTATGCTTATTTTACCTCCAAAATAGCCTTACAGCATCATTTTTATTCCTAGTAGTGATAAATTGAATTTTTCTTTTAAAAAATTCCAATGATCTAAACAGCATTTATGACAAACTTACACTAGTTGGATTCAGACTTTTTCAAATTTTTTAACTTTAAAAAAATTTACTTAAATGATAGTTTATTAAGTTTAATTTCCGTTGTTCTGCGTAATTAAATACTATACAGTTTAAAAAAGGTCTGCACAACTCATTTTATTAGTTTCAACATATGTTTTTTAAATAAGATTTCTTAAATCTTTCTGTTAAAATTCTTTCAGTTCCTCTTTTATGTCAATATTCTTCAAACATATATATTTTATTCAATAAATTTTCTTTGATCCCACAATATTTTATTATCAAATTTCCGAAGATACACTTTCAACAAAATTTTACCCATGTTCAAAGCGCAAATAATCTGAACGTTATCACGTGTTCTATCCACATTCGGCATCGAGCGAATATGATTGGAGAATGGCTTTTTATTTTTTTTTATTATTTTTTTCTTTTCTTTTTTACAGTAAAACAATTTTTTTTCTCTTTTCCTAATATTTCTCTTTTTACTCTATTTATTTTTACTCTTCGTTCTCTAAGCAGGGGAGCAAGAAAATTATGTCAACTTGTTCGGGCTTGGAAGAGCACCCCCTTTTCTAGAAGCAAATTCACTTTCCGAATCGTCGAACCCTACCCGGGTCTATTCCTGCACATTTTCTTTTTTAGCATTCAGATACAGTAATTCCTTTTCAAAAGTTCCTCGCTTTATTTTTTCCCTGAAAAATTTGAAATAAATACTCTTGAAGAAATGCAATTTTGCCCTTCCTTAACTTTCCAAAGTAGTCGCTTCCATTTGAGAATCGCATGTTTATTTATTTTTTTAGTTTTAACATTTTGGAAGAACACGAAATAAAAGTGGGTCTCCAAAGACGGCAACGTTTTGATGGTGGAATTTTCTTAGTAAACACAATATAATAGTTTATCATTTGAACAGAAGCCTTAGAATGATGAAACTTAGGGACGACTTGATAATATCTTTTTCAATACGCTGCGAAAATTGTAAAAGACTCGTTGAAATTTACACCCATTTTATGTTTCCTATGCGCTTTAACACTTTTTGGTTTTCTCTCAAAATAGAATTTCAATTTTGGAAAAAAGTAACGGAATTTTTTCTCTGCAAAGAGATAGTGAAATTTAGAAAAAGTAATTGCATATTGTAAGTTATTTTGAAGATGATGTATTTTATTTTATTATGGTAGATATCAATAAAAATGACAGAATGGATAGATTTTTTTTCAGAAAAATAATGATTTTCCAAGGAATAATCATCCTCGAAGTTCGATTTCACTAGTTTATGAATATTATAAAAAAAAATTTTTTTTTGACAGGAACGTAATAAGAATTTGTTTTAGAAAGGGTTTCTTTTTCTTAGAAAAATTGGCTTATTGCGTTCCTGATTTATAATTGATTTGTAAAAGATTTGTAATTAATTTATGTTAGAAAATGTTTCATCCAAGAACATTTTTCATGCTGAAAAAAAAAACTAAATGCGTGAAGTAATCAAACAAGGAAGTTATTATTTATTAATTTATATGAATTAATTTATTAAAAATATTTCCTGCATTTTCATTTTTCTGCCCGAATGTTGTTATTCAAACTTGTGTAAAAATTGGTAATATTGCCTTTTGTACCGAGCTAATATTTTAAAACCAGGAGATAAACGGAACTTCGCACCATATTACTGTTAAAAGAATTTGAACTAAACTTCTTCTATGTGGCATTACAGCTCATTGTGGACTCTGACTTGATGAACAATACTGTTTCAAACTTTCCTGTTCTTAGTCTTGTTTTTCCAGTAAATAATTTAAATTTTGGTTAAATATTTTATTACGTCATCTGAATTCCGCAACAAATTAACATAAAAATTTTCGCACTGGCTTTTATAGTATAACACGGAGTTGTTTAACTTGAAAAGATTCCTGGTTTTCTGAGTTAAAATTCAAAATTGTAAGGTCACGGTAATAAATTTTTGTTCGTAATATGGAACTGCTACATGTAAAATAAACATTGATATGGATAAAATATACTCTAAGGTAGGACCCAACAAATCTTTCTAAGATTTAGGAATATTATTAACTGTTCTAACTATATTTATTTAAAGCTAATGTAATATTTGATACATTATAATTAAAACAAAATGGTTAAATAAAATGCATATAATTTTTTTATATAAATTAAACTTATTTTCCTTTTCAGTAGCTTTGTTGGTCATCCGTAACCAAACTACATAAATTTTGAATTTTTTTAAATATTTCGGCATAATTTATACGGTCCCAGTTATGAAAGGAATACTGAAAAAGAAGAAAATATTTTTCTTTTTGATTCACTTTGAAATTGTGAGTCACGGCAAAATTTTATTTACTCAATATGTAATCGAAGACGAATTTCTGAATTTATGTCTCTGAAACATAGTTTATAAATTCTAATTTTGCGCTCATAAATCGGGGTTTAAAAATTCATTTTGCAGTGCATAAATATGACTGATTCAAGTCACCTTTTGAATCAAATGGTTGATTCGTATCAGTTTTATAATTTTTTTTCTGACGCTCTCATTAGCGAGAAAAAATATATTTCATTATTTTTGAATTACAAAAAAAATAGTCTAATAGTTACTAAAAAAATCCGAATTGTTATAAGATGTTCTAAAATTTAATATCCATGAAAAAAGTTGTTTAAATATATTTTTCTCATCCACATTCGAAAATTTATCAATAAATGATTTAGTAAATTAAAAATACTTCAATGATGGATAACTATTTCTTGTAGAACTGAATAACTACAAATAAGTGAAAATTTAGAAATTTATTGTTTGAAAGTGAGCCGTGCTTAGATGATTTTACTTTAACCCAGAAAAAAAATACCTTTGTTTCATGCATAGACATTAGTTATTAAAATGCTAAATATAATATTTTTAACTTATTTTGGCCTAAATTAATACATAATAAAGAAACAAATCATAAAAAATATGTTTAATAAAAATTCTTCGCCAAAGGGTTAAGCATTTATAAATCT